TTTAAACAATGTAGATGCCCCGCGTGTTGTTTGTTCTCAGCTTTTTGTTTTCAGGTAGTCAGCCACCACGAGTCTAAACAGTCTCCCCGCCTTTTCACTTCCCCCTCCATTCCATCTTCTCCATCTTCATCCTCCACTCTCTGAGCTTCATAAAAGACTTTACATACTTCTACAGCGACCCCCACTGCCCATCATGCCTCAGGTTAGTGCTACCCCGCTGCCATGGAAAGTTGTCATGTTGCTCATTTGCTGATCATCTCGCCCTGCATGCAGATCACCGAAATCTTCTTCGATTGCGACAACACCCTCGTCCTCTCGGAGGAATTGGCCTTTGAAGCCTGCGCCGACCTTGCCAATGAGATCCTGGAGAAGCACAACATCCCGGACCGGTACACCGGTGACCAGCTCATCCAGGACTTCGTCGGCCAGAACTTCCGCGGCATGATGGTCTCCCTGCAGGCCAAGTACAAGTTCGAGATGACCAAGGAGGAGCTGGAGGGTTACGTGAAGGAGGAGGAGAACCGCGTGATTGCCAAGCTGGAAGCCAAGGCCGAGCCCTGCGTCGGGGTCATGCCCGAGCTGGAGAAGCTGTACGAGTCCAAGAAGTACGGTCTTGCCGTGGTGTCGTCGTCCGCGCTGCGTCGTGTCAAGGCCTCCATCAAGAAGGTCGGACAGGACAAGTTCTTCGAAGAGGATGCGGTGTACAGCGCGGCCACTTCTCTCCCCACCCCGACTTCCAAGCCCGATCCCGCCATCTACTTGCACGCTCTCAAGGAGCGCAACAAGAAGCCCGAGGAGGTCGTCGCCATTGAGGACAGCAAGTCGGGCTCCCTGAGCGCCATCCGCGCCGGCATCCCAGTCATTGGCTATGTTGGCAGCTACAACGGTGATTCGAAGCAGCAGGAGATGGCCAAGGTTCTCACCGACCTTGGTGTCAAGGTGATCATGAAGGATTGGAGTGAGTTTGAGGACTGCTTGGCTCAGATTGAGCGTGCCTAGACGAATTGCTGTTGCGATTCACTCGGTATCCAGTATCTTCCTGGGCCTTGACATGATGTTATGATAGCGAAAGCATTGTATTTTCATATTCCCCCTTTACGAATTCAATCATGCTTTCTTCAGTTCTTGGCCGACGAGAGGCTTGTCGCAGCAAATGAGGTGTTTGATCTCTGTCTTGTGAACGGTGATTGTCGGATTTCGTGCCACAGCATGTTCCCTTTCTACAGTTATACAGAGGTTCGATAGACTTGAGCCCATCGGTAATACAGAGAAGACTTGTCCCAGACACGCAGTGCTCCTACAGTTCTTATATTACTCGAGCCGCCTCTGAGTTACCGCCATATCCCTCTACCCCGTACTCACGCTTCTTCCATCTAACAAACATATCTTCGCCTCCAATTAAGATCATAATCAAAAAATGTTATATAATTCTCCCGAACTTGATTACAACTGCTATATAGGCCCATCAGTCACACAGCCATGGCTCGCATCGCTAACAAGTTTGGCATATTTAGCCAAGGTGCCTTTCGCGGCTCTCGGTTTCGGCGCCTTCCACTCCTTCCTCCTCCGCTCCAACTCCTCCGATGGGATCTCCAGGTCAACCACTTTCTTCTCCGCATCGATCACAATACGATCGCCATCTTTGACGAGCGCAATCGGACCCCCTTCCATCGCTTCTGGCACGACATGCCCGATCAGAAATCCGTGGCTACCGCCCGAAAACCTCCCATCGGTGAGCAAGGCAACATCTTGACCCAGGCCTGCGCCCATGATAGCAGAGCTAGGCTTGAGCATCTCTGGCATGCCAGGCCCGCCCTTGGGCCCCTCATACCGAATGATGACCACGGTCTTCTCACCTTTCTTGATCTCTCCACGCTCCAATGCCTCGATGAACGCATCTTCGTAGTCAAAGCACCTGGCTGCACCCTCAAACCGCAGCCCTTCTTTGCCGGTAATCTTGCCCACCGATCCTCCGGGTGCGAGCGATCCTCGCAGGATCTGCAGATGGCCCGTAGGCTTGATGGGATTGCTGAGCGGACGAATGATCGGCTGATCGGACGGGAAATCCGGCCAGGCATTGACGTTCTCGCGCATCGTCTTGCCTGTCACCGTGATCCCCTCGCCGTCAATAAGCCCTTCCTTCAGCAGTAACTTGAGCAGGGCCGGCGTGCCACCGATCTTGTACAAGTCGTGCATCACATATTGGCCCGAAGGTTTTAAGTCGGCCAGGAAGGGCGTCTTGTCCGAGACGGCTTGGAAGTCGTCGACGGTCAACTTGATGCCCACGGCGTCCGCCATTGCAATAAGATGAAGGACGGCATTCGTGCTCCCGCCGAGGATATTCACCACGATCATGGCATTCTCAAAGGCCTGTCGCGTCATGATATCCCGGGGCCGGATGTCCTCCTTGAGCAGGTTCCGGATCGTCTCACCCACCCCTTCACACTCCGCCCGCTTCCGTGGGTCAACCGCCGGCGTGCTACTACTGCCCGGCACCGTCATGCCCAGCGTCTCGATCGCCGTGGCCAGCGTGTTCGCCGTATACATGCCCCCGCACGCCCCAGCCCCGGGACACGCATTCCGGATGATGTCCATCCGCTGCGTCTCATCGATCTGCCCCGTGATGTACTGTCCGTAGGACTGAAATGCACTGACCAAATCCAGCTTCTGGCCTCCCGCACTGCACCCGGGCTTGATGCTCCCGCCATACACCATCAGACTGGGCCGATTGACCCGCCCCATGGCCATGAGCACGCCCGGCATGTTCTTGTCGCACCCCGGCAGCGAGATGTTGGCGTCGTACCACTGCGCGTGCATCACCGTCTCGATCCCGTCCGCGATGATCTCCCGGCTCTGCAGGCTGTACCGCATCCCCGCGGTGCCCATGCTGATGCCATCCGAGGCGCCGATGGAGTTGAAGCGCATGGGGACCAGGTTGGCGCGGGCGACGGAGTCCCGCACGAGCTCAGACAGCGAGAGGAGGTGCATGTTGCAGGGATTCCCCTCGAACCAGACGGACGAGATGCCCACCTGCGGCTTGTGCATGTCATCGGGTGTGAGGCCGGTCGCGTAGAGCATGGCTTGGGAGGCGCCTTGGGATTTCGGCTGGGTGATCTTCGACGACTCGCGGTTCAGGTTGTGGTTGTCATGGTGGTGAGTTCGTGAGGAGGAGAAGGCACGCCGTCTAGTGGAATCCGAAGCAGATGTCAGTTCATGCGCAGGTCAGGATGCAGGAAAAGGGTGGGACGGGTCGGTGGGACAGACGAGTATACAGGCCTTGAGCGTGTTGAAGAAGGTATACACTGCCCGTAAGCCGTCGCTGTGCCGCGGCCGGCTCTGAAAATAGCCATCGTCATGTTAAGCCTGCAAGCTGTGTTGATTAATACTACGATGCTAGATTTCTCAGTCCCCCACGACATCGTCGAGTCCATCCAGGCTTTTATACCCTCCCATCCTGCTACAGGGGTCTATACTCTCACCCCAACTATCTCGGCCTTCGATGCGATATACTCCAGTCCTCTCGGGCTGTTGTCCGAATGCCATGATTGCAACAGTGGGTACGGACTACAGTACAACAGATCCCAGGCTCAGCTGGTACCCTGATTAAGGGGGACAGCTCCGCTCGGACAGAAGTCCAATCCAATCAGGATCCCAGCATTATGACCCCAAGCACATTTCTTTTCTGTTCGTGGACTATTATCCATGATCTGGAAGCAGAATCTCGGCCTTGTTTCCGATCTTTCTTACTGCTTTGAGTCACGGTCAATGATTGCATTCAGGAGTGCGGTATTGGACGAATGGATGGTACTATGGGGTACTAGGAAATAAGCATTCCAGGATCCAAGGGATCCACTCGGTCCGGTCGGAGTTGGGTCCTCGCTCCCCGGATGGTGGTGGTACTGAGTAAGCACTGCATCAACTAACTAACTATTGGATGCTAGCATAGCTGAACTCAGTCTGCACTATGAGTACTTCCAAGATACGCGCATTATTGGTCAATCATGATGCTTTATGAGCTTCAGTTTTGCAGTTTCGTGTTAGGGAAGACTGCATCAGAATTGTAGGTCCAACCACAAGTCCGGAGTCCTGATCCCGCATCCATATTTCCCAAGTCTCCCGCACCAATGCACCTACTTTGGTCCTTTGACCTTGTACTAGGTAGTCTACAAAGATGTTTGAGTCCAAGGGTTCCCTCTTCTGGCTTTATGAAAAAGGCAGCTAGTAATAGAAAAGCGAATCCTCCGCCACAGAATCAAGTGACGGGTGAACGCCCCGAGGCACGGATGCTTCTACTGTAAAACGCACCCTGCGACAACCTCACGATGACTATACGTAGCATCTGGAGTGTAACTACGAGCAGACCCCACGCGGATCTCCCGCTGACTCCACACGCAGGCTATCATCTACACCGTCTATCTACCACTCACCCAGCCGAAAGCCCTAGAGTAGGAACTGGATCGGAATCGTTTCTGTTCCGGCCCTATCTCCGGCATCCGGATGGCATCCGGATGGCATCCGGGAACACCAAGCTTCGGAAGACCGGGTCGACGGAGCTTAGAGATACCGAATGTGCTGATCGAGAACTTCCCATGAATGATCGGCCAGCATCTTCGAGTCCAGGATCATGAGATGCCGCTTTGTGAGGACTGCAGGCTCTCAGTCCGTTGTTAACTCCGTGGTTAACCCCGTCGGGGGTGTGATGGGCAGTATCAACGCGGATTTACCCCAGAGTATTGACTATAAACATTCTGAATTACCGGACCATGGACAGGAGAAGAGACAATTAGCCATATTTGTCGCTGTCCGTCAAGCTCAGCTTTCCTACTATTCCTACTCTCGACACATCGACACAGAAGCAGCAATGGCCGCGAAGACCGCAATTCGGTATCAGCTCCTCCAGAAAGGAGGCTCCTTTGTCCAAGTCCCAACGCCATATCCCGCCCCAGGCCCGGAAGAAGTCTGTGTCCGAACCAAAGCCGTGGCCCTGAACCCACTGGACGTCAAGAACCGCGACCACGGTACTTTGATCCCCAGGCATTCCTGCTGAGGACTGGTGGAGTGATCCTGCATACTTGTACAAGTCTGGATGACCATTAGCATCACCCACATGCCCATCAAGCGCTCGAAATGTGTCCAGTCAAGAGAAAAGCGAGTTACACCATCCTTAAACAAAGCACCGGTCTTTTCGGCAGTCACTTCTGAAATTGGGTTGGCCACGGGCTGCAGTGTCTCTTTGACCGGCTCTCCCAAATTTTGACCCTTCTTCTTCTCCTTCTTCTTGGTCGCCTTGATCCTACTGAGGGCCAGCGTCGGTCCATAAGGAATCTTCCAAAGACTGTGTTGCGACAGAAGCTTCCGGTTCAGGACTCTGTAGAGGTTGCAGTGCTGGTTGATCTTCCCACAACCGAGACTCAGTTTTAGGTGTTATATTTGATCCTGGTATCGGACCTGGATCCATGTCCAATACAATCTCTGCCTCTGAGACAGGCTCTGGCATAGGCCGATCCTCAACTTCGATCTCATGCGGCTCAGGCTCGGGCTCGGGCTCGGACTCGGACTCGCTTGCAAGCTCAGCCTCTAGCTCAGGCTCAGGATCGAGTACAAGCGGTGACTCAGAAAGCGGTTCCAGCTCAGCCATTTCCTCCGGCTCACCAAGCCCACCAAGGGCTTGATTGACTTCCTCTCTGTCCCTCTCAAAGATGGCCAACGTTTCATCGACGATGAAGCGATCAAAGCTTCCTTCCATGCCAATACCATATTCCCCTATGATCTGTCGCAGAGATACTTCTCTATCCGAGAATGCAGCCTCTAAACACCCCCGAACAAACACCTCCACCCAAGTGCGAGCCGGCTCCACGTCACGGAGACTGTCGTATATCTCTCTTAACACTTTCAAAATATCCTCCGTTGGCAGCCGCTGCGCGAACCGCCCCAGAAAGCCCTGGGCCAGCTCTTGTAGGCCAGGGACTTCGTACAGCACCGCCGCAGCGTAAGTGTGAGCTGTGCGCGTAAGCTCCTCAATGTCACGGGCGCGCAGGGCCTCGGTAACATCGGCAGCGTTCTTGATGGGTGGAAGCACGCTTTGAAGCGTTTCGTATTGACCGGTAGAGAGATAATGAATGAAGGTATGCGCGGCTCGGGGGTTGATCGTCAGCTCGAGATGATAAAGCGGGCCTTGTGATCGGATCGACCACTCATTGTATGTATCAGGTTCCCGGTAGAGCTCGGATGGATTGCACTTGAGTATAGGGAAAGGATGCAGGTAGTATTGTAGAATAGTGTAATACTCCTTTCCCACCTTGAAAGTGATTGGGGAGGTCACGTAAGGACTGCTCACGTTAGCGCCATCTTGAAGGGAAGAATGGGAAGCGAAAACCGAAACAATGAAGATAGGATTACCAAAGAACACAAGGAAATAGCAGGCATGGACAATCTAGACAGAAGCTTCAATATTGCGGGCTTACCTTTCGTCTCTCTGAGTATAATCCAACAGCTCTGGAATGCTGAGGTCTGCTACTGGCTCTGGCTCTGGCTCTGGCTCTGGCTCTGGCTCTGATACCCGAAGACCTTCTGCATTGTTGAGGCTCTTCAGGTTCGTTCTTTTCAGCTTCTTCTTGCCCATTCTGTTGGAGGGTTGGCGTCAGCTTGTCGAGATGGATTGCAAAGTCGTGTCGAAAGGCTCTTTTGTGTCTGAATTTATAAGTCCTCGAAGAACAAGTTCAGGATTGATCTATGAGGGTGGAGTCCACAATGATCTCTGACGGCCGGTGCGACACGTCAGATCATATCCCTGCAAACAAGGCTGCGAGCGCCACACGTATGCAAAGAGCTCTGAGAAGTAACTGTGCGTTGGCAAGCGTACTGGGCGGCGCATTCTGAACTACCGGAAGGCAGCCAGTAACTAGTATGGGGGTACTGTACATTGTGCTTGTTGAGCGGGGTAATTAGTGCAATGCTTCGCGTGGCTTGTTCCGAGTTACCTCCTTTTCGCCAATCAACTTGGCAACTTACCCCGAGCCCCAATTAATGATAGTAGCTCGGAAACAATCTGTCTAATTATGCAGTGTACCTTCACGAGTTGGGTATCTCGGCTTGGATTCTCTATTGAAGATGACTGAACTGGTAAGGGAAAATCCAAGGTTTTTCTCGCTATGCTTTGATATAGTTAGCTAGGGTGGGTATGGTCTCACACGATTCAGCCTTCTAGCCGATTTGCTCTGGCGTAACCATCCATCGGTTTTGCTTCTCTATGGATGACGGCCGTGATTGCTCTTGATCGACGGTTGTAGAACAGCCTGTAACAGAGAGAGTTTGTTAGGTTTGTATGTTGTAGATATCTCCATAGCTGGAGAGATCCCTCAAGGTAGAACTCAATCAACCAAGGTCATATCATACCACTGGAAAGAGACATTTAGAGACGAGAAGTCGCGTCTTTAGACTGAAGGGGGATTCCGTAGGTGCCAACCCCGCTAAATCTAGATAGCCGGCTCACAGGGCATGGCATGGCGTAGCCACGTGAGTTCAACGTCACAGACTCGTAGCGGTGAATTGAGACATATTAGCTGTTGTCTATGCCGCATTACGGCTTCAATATCTGAGAAGGGTAAGGTGTATTAGTAACGAGAGATATTGGACAACACCGATACAGAAATCAAGTAGAGCCACCAAAGAGCAGCTCTGGTCAGGTGAATACACCTCGCTGGAGGCATTCCTTTTGACCACCCGGAAAAACCATGAAAGGCAGCAAAAACTTCAGTTCCCTAAGAAACCTGTCGTACAGTCCGAGGAGATGGCCGGATTCCAGGCCAAGAATTGAGCCTCGGTGATGTCGTATTTGGTTGCGACAGTAGCACAATTATCGCCGGCTGATCTCACATTAGTTTGTGACCCCACATCGAGGAATGGCTGGAATTAGTACCATGGTTTAGCCATGGGACCAGACTCACATTGCGCAACATAGTACTCATCGCAGTTTGAGGAAATCCCACTCTGAGTTGGGCCAGGGGGAGTCACCGATGCCACGGAGGTAGGCGTGGCTGGGGTCCTTGTGGTAGTGCTGGAACCAGACACCCCGACACAGTAGGCTTCGTCCGCCCAGAAGCCGGTCGTACAGTCGAACGAAATAGCTGGGTTCAAGGCGAGGAACTGGGCTTCGGTAATGCTGTATTTGGCTGCGATAGTGGCGCAGTTGTCACCCGCTGCAAACGGAGAAAGTTTTTAATCAGCATTTCTGGACTCAAGGACCGCCATGGGGGGAGGAGGGTAGGGAGTTGACTTACTCTCTGCGACAGCGTACTCGTCACAGTTCGCCGGTATGCCGGATTGTGTGGGGGCCGGTGGTGTGGTGAAAGGAAGAGAAGACGACACAGAGGGCGAAGCAGAAGAAGCAGAAGAGGATGCAAGGGTCGTGGAAGCAGTCACACGCCTACACAGTAATCCTCATCGGCCTAGAAACCAGTCGTGCAGTCCGAACATATGGCAGGGTTCCAGGCCAGAAACTGAGCCACTGTGATATCGAAGTTGGCGGCAATGGAGTCACAGTTGTCACCGGCTGCGAGGAGAGTAAGTGCATCGGCTAGCAAGTGTGGTCAGGGTTTGAGTGTCTTACATTGAGCGGCGTAGTATGCATTGCAGTTCGCAGCGATGCCGGTCTAAACCGGAGCAGTGGGACTGGTGGCAGCTGTAACTGTCGTCAAGGTGCCGTTTGTCGCAGTCATGTTGCTGTATTGCCAGTCAGACAAAGGGTCAACACAGTAAGCGTCACCCGTAACAAGATCCGAGTCGCAGGTGGTATAGTTGAGCGAAGGGTTAGCTTCAGTAAACAAGTAAGTAATACTGTTGGCCAGACAGATGTCCGAGCAGTTGTAGTTCAAGCTGGCCTTATTGACAAACCACGCACCGTAGTCAAGGGTGGTTCCTAAGACTACCCAACCGCCTACTAGCGGATTGACTGCTTCAGCCTCGCCGGAAGACGTGGTATTCAAGGCCTGGCCGGTATATGTTCCGCCGGGAGGAGAGACGCAGAGCACCGAGCCCCAGTTAGGATTGGTCGAGTACAAATTGGAGCAATTCCAGGTCCACTCTCAGCTGTTATGATGAAGTTGGCGACCGCAACACTAGAGTATGTATTGTTAGACTGTACGGAATAGACATCGGTACAGGTCAGAAAGAGGCAGAGAGCAGTGCCAGCTGAGATATCCGAGTAATTGAGGATATTGGGGTTGGTATAGTACATGGTTGCCGCCGACACCCCTTCTACTAGAGCAATGAAGTCACACGTGTCACTATTTTCAGTGGTGTAGATTCCCCGAGACACAGCTGGGGGTTGTCGTGGGTATAGATATATTAAAGGCGCTGGCCGTGGCGTTGAAGTCTGCTACCGTTAAATTGCATGTTGCTGCCCTGTACTTAAAGATCAACTGCTAGTCATCGTTGTAGGTATCCGAATAAGCATCCGCCTGTATCAGCTCCAGCTTCTTTACATAGCAATAGGAGCACAAGTCCGAGGTTGAGATGTTGGACAACGAATCGACGTTGGCAAAGGATGCAATCTTATCTATGTTATTGGTAGCATCCGGTGACAGCTTATTGATCGCAGGCGAGCCAGTGCATATGGGAGCATTCTTCTTACTATTGCAGTTCTCGCCTGTCTTGGGGTCCACGAAGCAAGATTGATTCCAGCTGCTCCAGAACTGGCCAACGAGAACCCGGAACGACATTCCAGGAATTAGTTCAGCTGATGAGCCGCATTTAGCCGAAACCGAATCATGCAATTGCGCAATCGAAGCCTCGCAGCTGGAAGCACAGATCAGAGCTGTCAGCGTGGCATTGTCCAGGCTATCACTGTAGTCATCTGTGTCAATCAACGAAACGGCGTCATTGCAGTCGAGCGTCTGGTACAATGGGTTTTCGCACGGAGATGACAGGCCCGAGCCAGATAGAGTGCCGTTAGGGAACATTGACACGCTTGTCGAACTCGCATTATCGGAGTCAGCTGTGCGTGGATGAGCCTGGTGCTCAGCACGATGATGAAAGTACCCATGCGACAGAGAGCGGGCAGCCTGTCCCGTTATGAAAAAGCACGAAGCTGCAAGAAGTAGAAGAAGTGATTGCGGTGTCCCATAGTTGAGAAGCCAAGCAAACGATGGTAGAGATTCAGACCAGGAAGAGAGAGACGAGAGAAGCTCAATACCGAGATGGTGATGGGAACTAGAATTATGAAGTCTTACAGTTCTACTCAAGGACCCGCGCATGAGACGACTCTAACATCCTCGCAAATTCCCATTCAAATCCGACAATCTATTATACAGGGCCCATGTTGAGGCCGGCGTGAGGGTCTGTGCCCCTCTTCCCAGTCCAGTTGCCGGGCCGATCTGCCCCTCTTGGATCGACGTCAGCCAGCCGCACAAGAGCCTCACAACTATCTCCGTTCAATAGATATCATAGATCAGCCATTGCTTCGTTTCAATTTCAATTGCATCCTCGTACCCAAACAATTATAAAATTGTTCACACCAATTGACCGACAATATGTCCAAGAACGCGCAATCCAAGATCATCTCCAGAGGTCCATTGGTAAGGTTAACCAACCTCTTCCCCCCCCCCTCCCCGCGCCCCCTTCCCCAGCGACAAAGCCCAGACAACTCAGCTCTCTCGGTGACACAAACACACTCACCATGTCTCATATGTATCATCCCGATCAAGCCCGTCTAGCCCAGCCCCCCCAACTAAAAATAGCATCACCTCTCCGTAGGACCCCTCAGAAGCCAAATGGGCCCGACTGGTCAAAACCACCTACTCCGACCCCAACGGCGTCGAGCGCACCTGGGAATCTTCCGAAAGAACGGTGAGTTCCATCCGGACCCTCTTCTCCCAAAACCCAAAAGGAGATACCCTGTCAGACTACGACATCGCTGACGGGGTGGTTCCAGACTCGCCCGGAGACCTGTGAGATTGATGGCGTTGGGATCGTGACCATCCTCAACAAGGAGACCGGTCCAGAGCTGCTCCTGCAGAAGCAATACCGGCCCCCGATCGACAAAGTCGTCATCGAGGTTCCAGCCGGATTGATCGATGCAGGTGAGACGGTGGAGGAGTGCGCCGTCCGGGAACTCAAGGAAGAGACGGGGTATGTGGGTGTGGCGGAGCAAACGAGCAGTGTCATGTTCAATGGTGAGTTTTCGCTCTTTGTTTTTCTGCCCCGGGCGGGCGGCACTCATTCAGGCATTGAGAAAAAGGAATGCGACTGCGCTCTCGCGGTGGTAATGGCTGATGCTGAAACATTTCTTCTTTTCGAAAACTAGATCCCGGGTTTTGCAATACTAACCTGAACATGGTCCATGTCCGGGTGGATATGTCCTTGCCTGAGAATCAGAACCCCAAGCCGGAGCTGGAGGATAATGAGTTCATCGAGTGCTTCACGGTGCCCTTGTCGACGCTCTTTGCGGAGCTGAAGAGGCTCGAGCGCGAGGGTTATGCTATTGATGCCCGGGTGGGCACGATAGCGGAGGGGATCGAGCTTGCGAAGAGGTTCAAGCTTTGAGGTAGTTGTTGTAAAGAAAAAGGCTTCGGATTACGGATGGTCTACGCCTGAAGTTACGAAGCCCTCGAGGGCGCGTCAACGAGATGACGGTTCCCCCGTGTTAGCACGGAGAGAGATGGCATCTGCTGCCGTGGTTCTAGACTTCTAGAGTTTCCCTTCCTCTTTGAGTCCCCTGTACAGCGCCCATGCGGCAAGGGTCTTCCCATCGCGCACACCTTCCTTCCATAGATCCTTTAATGGCACCACCTTCAGCGTAATCTTCTCTCCGTGCTGCCGTAATCCGGTCAGCCTACCCTGCAGACTCTCGATCTCCTTACGCGGCATGCGCTTCTGGCACAGAAACAAAGGGATGAACTCGTCACTGCCGCCCGCCGAAGGATACACGGCCTTCTGCAGCGACTCTCCCCCCTTCTCCTCATCTTCTGACCCGGCGGCGCCCGGCTCCAAGGCCAGCGCCGTCAAATCGATCAGCTCCTCTTGCGGGATGGTCAGCCCTGTCTCCTCCTGGATCTCTTTGGCCGCGCCTCCCGCAAAAGACCCACTGTCATCCAACATGCCGGCGGGAATCTCCGTGAAGGCCAGGGATCCCGCCGGAATTCGAGGCTGGATGGTCAAGACGACGCGTTTTTCTTCTTCATTGGATGGAGGGACGTCGTCGGGTTGGAGGATGAGCTATGAGTTCGTTTTCCGACGTATAGCGAATTAGTTCCCTCATGTCTTTTCAGATGCGGGTATTTTGACGGAAGAAACAAAAGCAGACGATAAGCGAGTAAAAAGCAAAACATACCAGCATCCCCACACTGCCCCCGCGTAGGAAGACGCTGCCCGGGAGTGTCTCGCCGCTCCCGTTCGACACCTCTGCTTTCAGCTTCACAAAGCCCAACCGCCCACCGCCAAAATAGTCGACCGCCTGGATATCGATTCCGCGAAGGACGTACGGGTCTCGGGAGAACTCGTGGGGGAACTGTTGTTGTTGGTGGTGGTGTTGCCGGCTCAACGACCGCTGCAGGGTGCTGAGCCAGATGCGAAAGGCGGGGAAGCGCAGCAGAGCATCGCGGCTTAGGTCTGCTGTCGACGAGACGGGGACGGTTTCGGAGGACGGTGACGCACCGTGATGATCGTGGTCGAGGTCGAGGTCGAGGTCGCGAGGGATTGTGAAGCTGGATAGGGACATCTTTCTGGGCGCTGAGAGGAGGAATGGCCGTACTGGTCGATGAACCGTTCGTCGGAGGTGCACGGACAGCCACCGGGCGGCGGGCGTCATCAATGGATCGAAAGGGAGTCTACCGTAGCAGGGGGGAGGGGGGGTGGGTGCGTTGGTTGGTTGATGAGTTGGCTGTTTTTTTGTCTCACTAGATTTGACTAATGGAATGATTGGAGGTGAGGAGCAGGATGAGTGAGTAGGTAGTATGTACGCATCCAGTACAGTACTGTACTTGTTCTCGTTTGATGAAAGGCTTGGGCGATTTTGTTGGGTTGTTTTGGCGGAATGACGTCGTGGTTGGAAACGTCAACTGGTGGAAAAGGGAGGAGACTCGGAGTGAGGGAACAATCAACAACTCGACTTCACTTATCCAGAGTCACATCTTAACCTCTTAATACTTCTTTCTCTACCCTACTGCACTGCCCCTCCGGCCTTGACTTCCCCTTTCCTGGGATTCTTCCCGAGATTGGATAGACAACGAAAACACGACGACACAACACCTCTCAGACAACCGCCGCCAACAGCAACAGACTTCCAGCCTTAGCCTTCTGGGCTGGACTCTCTCTCTTTGACTTTCCCCCACAGTCAACCAATCACTCCTGCAGCTCATGCTGTATCGTCCCCATTCCTACGGTCGAAGCTCCCAGTAGTGAAATTACCGGATCAAATGCTGCTCCTGGTCTGCTGCTCCGCATGGCTCTTCGCTTCTGCCTCGTCTCTGGCGGGGTCAGACCCGACAAGACTGACGGTCAGTGAGTGAGTGAGTGAGTGAGTGACTTGGTGTGGAGTACTCCGTACTCCGTAGTGAGTGATTGAAAGGTTCCCTTCCCCGTCTTTCCCGTGACCTTCGCTTTGTCCGAGAACCCCATCGCCTCCTTCACTCATCGCCGTGTTTGCTTTCCGTCTGCTCCCTTCCTCTTCGACTCCCTACTCAGCTACGATTGTGTGCGTGTTAGGCCTTTTGCACCCGCCGCCGCCGCATTCACAAGCACCACCGTTCGTGTCTCCTCTCGGTCTCTCTGCCTCTCTGCTCTCTGCTCTCTCAGCGGTCTCTCACCGTCTTTATCACTAGCTATACTTCACGTTCCCCACAATCTCATAGTACCTTCGCCTGGAGGCTGCAACCTTATTCTACTTTGAGACGACGCGGCGCTGTGTGAACGTATTTCTCTAGTTGAGGCCGTGTAAGCCCGGTTGAGCTGAGCCCGCATTCAAGATCGTCCAAAGTTAATAGTCTGACTGCGTGCCAGAACTCCTGACTTGGGTTCGGATTCCATCCAAGTTTTGCTGGATCACGCTGTGGTCCTTGTTTTTGCTTCTGCCTTGCCTCGCCTCGAGGATCCTTGCTCTCTTCAGAGCCCGTCTGTGGTCTCCGTTCAAGCGAGACAATGAGAGGAAGATTGCAAAGGCCCTAGTAGGCGAAACGAGTCTTCTGCGATTCTGCGATATCCGGAATGGTACTGCCTCGAGTACCCCGCAAACAGAACTACCAGACGTATTCGCGCTGCCTCTTTGAGTTTGAATATCTACCGAGCTACAAGCCCTGTATAGGTCTTTGTTGAGAGATCAAAGCAGTGAATAGGAGCAAGATCACGTGAAGAGAGCCTCTACCGACTCACCTCACACTGTCTATGTTATGTCGCCGCCTTGACTCGCAATGAATCAATTGTGAATGATGGTTGCTCTGCTTCGTCATATTTTCGGACCGAGCTGCACTGATCACTATGATGATGGTCATCTTGATCTGAACCGACCCATTTCCCGTTTTCTGGGTCGTTATTCTTGCCAGAACCCGAAACACGGCAGTGAATATCAAGTTCTGCCAAATATCGAATATCCGGGCATGAGATCAGCTCGGCTTCTACATCTTCTTGACGTATGAACGTGCTAGGGCCCCTCTTGCTACCCACTGTGAATGTTGGCCAGGGAAGTTTTTTATATCCCCTCCAGTGAAGTCAACAATTGTGGCATCTGAAAGTAGCTTTTCTCTTAGTCTTCGTTTTCTTCTTAGAACCTCACTTCTACTGACTCAACCTCCTTTCTGTCACTTTCTGTTCTTTCTACTTTATTTGAACATACAAGTATCTGCAATTTCATTTGGATCTTCTTTTGGGCCTCGTCTGGCTCGTGGAGTGTGTGTACCACGTTTGACTTAAACCATCATTTGCTAAGCCCAAGTGTTGTTTGCTTTACCGTGATCGTCAACAACAAATAACGTACGCGGTAGCAGGATAGCACAGTGTCGACCGACGATGGAAAGCTCACTCACTTCGATCGCAGAACCATGTAACCTCATGGGCACATGGACCAGTTACGCCACTTCTCCCACTGACTCGCATTCAAACACTCAAGCCTCCCCTAACAGCCAGCGAGATTTCCACAATCCATCCACCGAATCGAATCCTGGGGATACAACAATGTCTGGCTATGCCCAAACTCATGGTCACGAAATGAACAGTGGGACTGGAAGCTTCATGTCTCAAGAGACCCCAGTCCTTCAGCCTCCTCTGGACTACGCACGGGCTCGCTTGCCACCACGACGACGGCGGGTATACAATCAACTTTCAGTACAGCAGGAAAGAGTATTTCTCAACCAGGCGCTTGACGGTGCCCACGCTACATATTATGCTCCCGCAACTGCTATGGTCCCGCCATCAAATCGCATGGGTACTCAAATGAACGGCCTTCAAGCGGGAGGCGTAATGGCATTGCAAGATTCGAACCCAACTCCGATGGAGCCTAGGACAAGCCACCAGGGACCTGTCGCACAGCCTCACTATTCGCCCTTGGCATCTAGAACTCTGCCGCAGACACAAGGATTTGTGCCGAATGGATCCGTGCATGGACCAGGCCAGCCACAACTGCAACAGCCGCAGACCATTGCTCGCATGCCATATCCAGTATCTGTCGCATTGCCCAGGAGTAGTGTGCCAACCACGGCTGTCCCAATGACGGTACCAACATGGACACCCCAGTATGCGGCAGCTGTGAGGCCACTGCAGCCGCAGCCGCAGCAACAACAGCAACAGCAACAGCAACAACGGCACGATGAATGGCCACCATGGGAGCCTTCGCCAAGACCTGTTGCAGCTCTTCCGGCACGGACACCTCAACTGACGGCTTATGGTAGACTACCGCCAGGAATGGTGAATGGAGCCGTGGCGATGCACCCTCCACCCAATCCTCAGGCCCGGGCAAGCGAGCTCCGGCGTTCTCAACTGATGCATATGATGCAGCGATCACCACCCAATCCAGTGGATGCTCGAGCTATGCAGGAATATGCCCACAGCTTGAGCCGGAACCAACGCCTGCGTCAACCTCAGGGAGCCAGTACTAATCCTCCTTTGCAGCCGGAGAAGAGTCTAGACAACCAGAACAACGGCCGCCCGGACCCGAAGGAGTCGGAAGAACTGAGCGTCAACCTAGAGTGCAAAGTCTGTTTCACGCAATTGGTCGACACCGTCCTGTTGCCATGTGGCCACGCGGTGCTCTGCCGGTGGTGTGCAGACACCCATCTGCCGAGTTGTCGGAATGACCCGACGCGCCTGGAGGGGGATCCGAGCTGTCCGATTTGTCGTGGGCCGGTGAGACACAAGGTAAGTCAGATAGATGGATAAAGGCATTCCCACAAGAAAACTGGGACACTATTTTGTGTGTCCTTCCCAAGACAAGCTTGGCTAATGTGATATCCAGGGCCGGATTTACTTTTCGTGATTGTTGTGTGGTTGGGTAACGCCGCTGCCTTGTTTTTTCCCCTGTCGTGTTGTTGCTGCATTTGGATAACGGCGTTTGGTAT